TATATAAAGCTGTTAATTGATTATAAGAGTATCATCAAAATGAAACAGTTTTTACCTTCTTCTGTTTTTTATTTTTCGCCATTTCTTCTTCGATACAGTCCTTTTCAGCAACAAACTCAAGAAGCTTAGCATCTGTAATATCCATTTCTTGATTTGTTTGGTAGTATATATTGAACAAGAATGTTTTCTCTTTGCTCTTCATCTCTTTATGTTCTTCTTAATGTTTTGATCCCTATGGTTTATATAGAGAATTATAGAATGTAGTGTGTGTCAAGTTGGAGAAATGCATTAAGTTATGTATTCCTTGTGATGTTCGATATATTACCATTTTTTACTTGGATTTTTGATTAAGACCACAACTTTTTCAACTATGAAACTCTTATTTACTAAGTTTGTATGTATTTCTTCTTTTTCATCCATTAGATCAAACCACCGACTCAAATTCTCAAAAACTTTGTCCTGCAAATGTAATGTGCGTACGTAGACATATACATATACACGTTTCTTAAACTTTCTATAAATACATTAATATTCAGAATTCACATTTGAAAACACTTGATTTACAGAACATGCAAGCCTTTAATTTAATTGAAATTATATACTTTTCTTCTAAATATTTTCAAAAATTTACACATTTAAAAACACATTATATGCTTTATAATCCGAAAGATAACCACTAGTTGAGATTTCATATTATTTCACATTATTATAGTTGTGGTTGTCAATTATAAAGAAGAAAGTTGACAGTGTTTGATTTACCTTTAACGTATTTTCTTTTTAATTATTACATTTTTTCTTGAAAATTTGAATACATTATTTATCTGATATATTATTAGTCGAAAAATATTTTAATTTGTTAATAGTATATTGCAAATTTATGACGTATCGAATAAAAAAGATATCATAATTTGGGAACTTTGTAAGACAATCCATTTTTTTTTAAACGAATAACTTAGGTTGTAATAATTATTTGGATTGTGATCATTCATAAATATACTTGCCATATGTTCTTCGTAATATTTTATTACTAGAAAAACTTATTAATTTGTGAATAATAAATTGCATCGTACGTACTAAGAATGTAATAGGTATCAAACATAGTAAAGGGTACAAACAGTTTCGACGTAATTGAGTTGTCTCTTGCCCTAATTATTGTTTAATCATTATTTTTGTATGATTATAACACATCAAATTACACTGTATATATAATATAGACATCGACACACATGAACCTCTGATATGTGTATATAAACGTTCTGGATATAAATAAATGTTTTTTAAAAATACACATCCAAATTGTAGTGCCACTCTCTTTTAATTATGAGCTAGATAAATGACAAGACAAACTATATTGATAGTTAGAAAGACCTAAAATAAATTATTTCATAGAACTTTTTTAAGGTTGAAATTAAATAAAACACAATAATATTTAGGGTTTTATAAATGTATATACATAGATAACTTAAAAACAAAGAAAACAGCCTTCCTTATTTTTTAATTAGTTCTCTTTCTTTTGACTCAATTAATGTCACAATTACCCTCTGTTACATATATACACTAACAAAAAAATTAACAGATAAAAGATTAAAACTTAACATCAAAAATAAATAATGTTCATTCGTTGTCGATTACACTATTCATCACCAAATACAACAAAGATTTTTGTGGTTATTTATTTGATTAACAACATAAATCAAATTATATCGGGATAAATATTTTGTTATATGGTAAATATGAATTTACCATGTTAATTTGTTTATTCTACGACTGATATAATCTAACTTATATAATAACATCTTAGTTACTTCGATAACTTATGTCTTACCGTTAACATATACATTATCTTATTTATCAAATCATAATAATTTAATTGATTTATCGCCAAAGGTAATAGAGAAACACTTATTTTGCGAGTATTTTTTTATTCTCATTGTAAATCATGTTTTTTTTTTTTTTCGGCAAAAACAGCTTTTCATTGATTTAAATGAGTTATTACAAAGAAATTTACAGAATTACTAGAGCACAATTATTACATACGCAGATATATGTCATACACTAAGAAAAATACAGCAGAAGGGAGATTGACGATGCTTTCTAAAGAGTAGTCTTACTCGCTAACCGACCAATAGATCCGTTATTGTCCAACTTCATATTTGATTTCTCTTTGTTACGATCGGCATGCAGCAACTTGTGGCTGAACTTTATGTTCACAGACCGTAATTTTAAACCCGATGTGTCCATAAATAACTCTGAAATGTAGACATGGTGGCACCAAAACTTCCGTACCAAAGTCCTTATGAAGAAACTCAACTCTGTAATTTTCTCTAATAAAATCATAAATAAGTGTACCGTAGTAGTAGTTTTGACTGTAGCATCCTCTGAGG